CGCAAAAACTTTCACGGCCCCGTACGTGGGAACCACGTGGGCAAGAGTGTTCATTTTGGGAGTGGGGGCTTGTACATGCATGTAGATTAAGTTCCCAAAACCTCAGCCTTGTAGTTTTTGTGGGTCTCGGGATGAAAAATCGGTACAGACGCACATACACACACATACACACACACGCACACATACACACACACGCATACACATACACATTGACAACCCCTCGGCAATATAGGTTTTTGCATTTGCACAGATGCATAAAACGCATAAAAATATGGGACTTTTAGAATGGGGGAATTTTGTTTTGCAGGGAAGAAGAAAATAATTCGTTGCGTGAGTACCTATCGATTCTGTACATGAATCCACGAATGCGAATTGTGCTGCGCGGTGAAAAAGTGTACACGCAAAGAATTCTCAGTACACTGTTCAAACCACGAATGTATCGGTATCAGGCAAAAAATTTGAAGGCATGTGTGGAGCGTGAGCTGGAGAAATGCGAAAAGAAGGCGCTGGAATGTAAATTTTAATTTTAAATATATTTCTTTTATTTGCTTACTTCCGGTCTTCCATTTCTTCCATTCCTTCTGATTTTCATCTCTTTTATCTTAATTAATTTCTACACCTCACTAAATTATTTTTTTTATCACAGTCGTCGTACTGACGAGGTCCAGTTGTGGTAACGATAAGAAATGTACAGGACTTAATGGACCGAAACATTTCTTACCTATTACAAATATTTCCTCAGTCCCCTTCTCCATCTTACTACGCTTTCCCTCGTCTTCTTTGTTTTCTTCGCTTCATATTTCCTCTTCAAAGTTTAATATTAATATAAGGATATTTTTTGATTTTTTGAAAAAAACAAGTATTCGCGGTATCAGCTTCTCCACGATCTGTGTCCGAAAAGGTGGTAACTTTTCTGGATGCTTTGACCAGTGCTGCGTTCACTTATGGTCAATCTTTTAAGGAAATTTTTTCATTTTTGCAATAAGTTCACCGCTGTTCTTTGGCCTTATAAACTGCTGCATTAATATTTTTTTTTTTTTCGGGGGGGAAAGTCGAAAAAAGCAGGCGGGAATTAAGAAAAATGGATCCAAGTTCTCTGATTAGCGATACGGGACGAGGCGAAATTGGTTGGCTAAATTAGTTGTGATGAATAATTTAGTTAAAAACCAGCACCGTGAATTCCTAAGATCGTACAGGCGTGAAAATTTGTGAGATGATTATAATGGTAAGTGTTTCGGTCCATTAAATCGTATACATTTCTTACCATTATCAGAACTGGACTTCATCAGTGCGACGATTATGGTAATTTGAAGTTAGTAGAAGTTAGGGTTAAATTAATTGTATAATTCATATTAGTTTAGTGAAATTGTTTAAATAAAAAATTGGATTGGCTAT